CATATCTCACGTCTACGAGTGTGATATTGCATTTATACAACAGTTCGACGGCACGAATGTGTAACTACATAAGAAAAAACCCTCCTGTGAAATTGCTCATATACAGTATGTCAGGGTACCGAAATAAAATGTTAAAGCTACATTCTGAGAAGCACTTGTGAATGGTAATGTTTCACTATTAAAATATTCAATGAATATTTAAATAATAAACTTTAAACACATTACCTGAAACCTCTCCCCCCTGTTCATTTGAGTCGACTTGAATTCTGGAGAGTCGATGAAGGCGTTGGTGTAAATATTATGCAAGAAATGGCCACGATATGATACCTTCATCCTGTCAAATGCATAAACTTGGTCAGAGAATTCAAAAACAATACACACGTGATAGGAGATCTAGAAAGTAAATGTGGACTCTTAGTGAAATGAAGCACCTACTTTCCTTTGAGAAGAATGCTGAGGCGCTCATCGACAGAGGTCTTATCTTCTGCTGCATAGACCTGGCCCTTCTTTAAGGTCTGGATGGTGCAGAACTGGCCGCTGAGCCTCTGAAACAGAGCTTCACGTACATGCAGGGGCTCGAACATGCGCTTGTACAATGATTTTAACTCCCTGTCAATCTTAATCTGGAATTAAACAACACAACCAAACAGGTATATTGAATGTAGCACAATGGGAACTTGAATTCTGAGTCCAAATTCATTGCAGGCAATGTGATCAACACTATTAGCCACTGTACAGACACTACAATACCCACTCACGAAGACATCAGAGAAGAGATGAGAGCAAAACATCCTCTTATCGCAATACAAATCATGGTATTTGACCTCTGTTTTCCTGGATGCAGTTTAAGCATCTCTCAGCCAAGAACATTAAAATAGACTGTATCAATAATATGTAGCTTGCTCATTGGTGACTGTACTCACCGGTCTGCGTTTATAAAGCAGGAAGAAGAAATGCATGAAGTTCACCAGGATGAAAACCACATTCCACACCATCACATCCAATGTACATCTATATAATGTGGCCCATGCTATGAACAAAGAGCACCCTGAAATCCAATAAAGATAAGCATTTCAAATCCAAAATGTTTTTTATTAATCAATACAACATCAAAACAATGCAAAGTTATTTTTTTACATTTAGTTATCTGTTTTTGGTTCTTAAAAGTTCCTATGAATCTTAATCCAAAGTAAAAATGTGAAAATTACATAAAAACAAGCTTACTTTGTATTGTGACACCCTTTTAGACTTTCAAAATATTCTGACTTCATTATTATATTAAATTGATATAGACAATACTTGCCACAACTTTTATTATTCATATTTTTTATATGATTAAACCAATAGTGGTAGGTAATTTTAGACCCTTTTGTCATTCTGGGATTTGAATGGTTTGATCATTTGTTACTTGAGGTTGCAAAATATTTTGAAACATTCATTATTAAAGCCTTTCAATAGATTTATTAGTGTTATTTTAGTATTATTTATCCTATTATAGTATTTATTAATATTATCTTTTATATTTTTAGTTTAAGTTTGAGTCATTTTGCTATGTTCTTTTGTCATTTTTTGATATTTCTTTATATTCTTATTTTTTTTCTTTCAGCTGTAGTTGTAATTAATAGTACATCAACTTATTATTTTTTTTATTTCATAGTTGCCAAGACATTTATATATTATTTTAAATCAAATCTTAATACTTTATTTTTATTTCAGATTAATTTCAATGACCAAAAACAAATCTTAATGTTTTCGTTTTAATACCTCACACTCTAAAAAATGCTGGGTTAAATACAACCCAGTGCTG